ACAACACTATAAATTTTAAAATAATTAATATGGTCCAACAACTAATGAGATCAATTAGTATACGAAAATTACGCAAGATTTTTACATAAATGTATACTCCTAAACTCTTTGTTGATTGACAAGCCAGGCTTGAACTTTTTAAATTTTAACATTTTGGACTCTGATTTCCATTCATAATTTATTGACGTTTGTTATTGATTTGGACTGGATTGCCAAAGATTGTAAAGTGTAGGATCCAAAATGCCAAAATTAAAAGTTAGTACATGCAAATTACAATAAAGTTTAGAGTGCATGAATACAATATCATTGTTTTTGGAATGTCATCTATGGCACGTCATTTATTCTTTTTCTCCTATATATGTCGTTTTATTCTATTAAGTGGAAGCGATACACAAGTGGATTTATGAGATAATGAACTTCTACACAGTCAATGTATATGTTGAACAAGCTTTAATAGGAGAAACAAGATTATTTTGTTTTTGCTCGGGCAAGAGCATACTTTGTAGGATTAACGACATAGCACCCATTTGATTTGCTGGTTTGAATTGTATTGATTTAAACTTTTTTTATTTGAACAAAAAAACTTGAATAATGTAGTTTAAACAGTAGTTCGATTGACGTTTAAATGTGTAGTAGAATTTTTAATCTTATCAGAAAAATAAAGTATGAATTAGTGTTTGAATTGAATGAGATCATAAAACTATAGTTTAAACAGAATTAACGCTTGGACGTGTAAGAGCAACTCATTTGAACTGGGGGGGTTTTCCCTAATTGAAAACTTAATTTTGTTTAAGTTGATAACAATTAAAAATGTTTTACATTGAAAACAAAATTTTTTACATTAAAAATTCTTTTACAAAAATATATTAAAAAATTAGTACAAAAAAGCTTCCTTTAAAAAAAAAGGTTACAAAACAACATAAAAAAAGAATGGAAATACAACTTATTAGGCATGTAAAATTTTCAACATAAACTAGTAAAGCCCATTAAACGACATCAAACATAAATGGAGGGGGTCCCAAAAATGACAGCAAATACAGTAAGAGGGTCCACTACGACATCAAACAGAAAGAAAAGGAGTACAAAACGACAACAATCACAGCCAGTGGGGTTCCAATACGACAGCAATCATAACGGAGTGAGATCACGTGTGCGAACAGAGGGCGAATCTTTTTTAGTGGGCAAAATTAGAGCTGTGAGAGTGCTTTTACTGCAGGGGAATGGTTTGAAAAGTAGAATTGACGGGGCAATTAAACTCTCCTTTAGGCTGTTTAGCTCAAGCTAAACTGGACATTCAATTCAAATAAATGTCCTTATCAAAAACTGAGCCCAACTGGACTGAACTAGTGAACGAAACACACGCATAGTATATACTTTTTGACTGAAACGAAAAACAAAGTACTTGCAACAGGCAAACATATAGTTCTATGATTGTATTGAATTTTCTTAAATATTAATATTGAATATCCTTCTGATAACCTTTAGGTAATACCTAGCTAGGTACGTTTCAAAATCTTAAAAAAAAAAAAAAAAAAAGGTAGTTAAGTAAGGACAAAATGAAAAAGTTGATACGGTTTGTGTCAGGTCTATTAATCATATAGATTTTAGTACAGGAGTGATAGCACCATGCGTTAGGACCACCAGTGCATGCCCATGAAATAATAAGATATCTAAAATGAATGCACACCTCGGCAAGTTTCATCTCTCTGTCTTATCTCTGTGTTTTCCTGAAAATACAAACAAAGGTAAGTTCAAATTTTGTGTGTAATTGTGACGTTTTTACATATTAATGTGTTTAATCAGATTATTTATAACCGACAGAATCCTAGCATACATAAGCGGATTGTCTTCATCTATTTTTTGTGTGTGTGTGTATAAGAGGATTATCTTTATAGCTCATTGACTAATTTGCTATTGATATCATCACCCTCTCCACTGGACCACATGGGTCGCTTCAAATCTGATCATGAAAACAACATCAATATAAAAAATAAAAAATAAAAACTATTTTTGCTTGAGTAAATGACAAAATTTCATATGCTTCAAATCTGATCACGAAAACAACATCAATATAAAATAAAAATAAAAAAAAATAAAAAAATAAAAACTATTTTTTCTGGAATAAATTGCAAAATTTCATATTCGCTTACATAACCCGAATGTAATTGGACGGAATTAGAGTTACTATAATTATTTACAAAATGCCTGAGTAATCGTCATTCTCAAAATACATGCATATATCTTTTACGAGAGTTCCCTTTTGGTACTACTTTATTTTTTGGTGAAGTTATTTTATCTTCTAGTGCTTCACCTTTGTTTTTCTTTTTCTTATCTTCTTCTTTACCTTTCCCCATTAAAAATTTTATACTATAAAAATGTATTATATTGAAATAATTTTCCTTTTAATTTATATCTATTTTTAATAATTTTTATCAAATACATGATCTGCACTTAACTGACTCTCTTTAACGTTCTTCAATATTATTTTAACAAAATGTAGTCATTGTAACTATTTTTCTCTTATTTTGTTCCTATTATGATATTTTTTTTTTCATAAATATGTCCATACTTCAATATTTTTGACAATCCCTTAAAATATTTTTTGTTAGATGGGCAAGTTAATGCTGTAGATTTTGAAAGAATTGTTTTTAGTTGTGTTGAAGCAAAAATCAGATGTTTTGTAAAGTAATTGAGTGTTTAATAAACTATAATTTTTAAAGTGTTGTTAGTTCTAAAAGTAGTATCATGATGTTGGGTAAACTATAAGACTGATTTTGTTGTTTGTGTTTAATTACCAAAATGAACATAGTAGGAAAATGTTAATATAATGTGTGTGTATATATATATATATATATATATTTGATTTTATTATTATTATCAACAATTTTAATTTTTTTTAGTTTACTGTTAATATAAATAATTGTTTAAGACGTAATATTCTCTAGCTATATTTCGTCAAAAAAAAAAACCTGCACATGTTAAAATCTATAAGAACATAGACATTTAAAAAAGAATAAATAAGAACATACGACAGTAGAGGGGGAAAAAAGAATGAAAGAAAATAACATTTAGAAAAAGAAAAAAAAAAAGAATGAGATGAGATTTTAAAGTTGGGAGTAGAATAGTTGGTGTAAACCACACTTTTCAAAAAGTTTTTATTCTACCCTTAGCAAAGGAAAAAAAAGAAGAAAAAAAAAGTCAGGCTTATAAAATATATTTATATATATCCCGGTTCTTTCGGCCAAAAAAAAGTAAGTGTATTTTGGGTATTATAAAATATATAAAAATATAATATGTATACAAGGATAGTCTGGGTATTATAAAATATAATAAATGGTATACTAAGTATATCGAAACATTCATTAAAAAGTAAGTACTGCTGCCTGCACAATCTAAAAGTAGAAGTTGTTTCAGACTAACTTCTAACTTCTGCTTCGTGAGTGAAAAAAATTATGTCATAATTGGTTTTTCAATTTTTTACCAAACACAAAATCAGACCAATCTTGTTCAAAAAGTCTTTTGGCTGGTTGAAAATCATTACCAAATTGACCTATAGTCTTTGTAAATTCATTGTTTTTCTAATTGATCCGCAAATTTTTCCACAAATGTGTTCTATTTAAAAATCCTTTTTTTGCTAATGTATTTCCTAATTAGATTTGTATTTGGTTGGTTCTCGTCACAATCATTTTTCATTTTTTTTTCATTAAACGCACTTTATTTTACATCTTATCATGACTTATATCTTATCTTATTTTCTCTTACATTTTATCTTACCTTACATATTTAAAAGCGTCATGTGCACTTCCGACGCTTTGTCCTCCACCGTTTTGTTCGTTTCCTTCTGCATTTTTTTTTTTTGCTACGTTATTGTTAATTGTCTCTTGGTAATTTTTTTTTTTGTTCTTTCTTCCATTTCTCTTTTCTACTTTTTTCTTTTTTTTTAAAAAAAAATGTCTAATTTTATTTTGTTTTTCCCTCTTCTTTGCTAAAGATTTATCTGAAATTTAATTTTGTTACAGTATAATTCTCCTATTAAAATAACTTACGTGCCTCTTTTTTTCCCTTTTCGCTAAAAGTTCCCCTATAATTTAATTTTTCATATTTTTCTATATACTTTTTTTTCTCACTCACTCTTACTAAAATATTTTTTCCAAATGTGTTCCTGCTATTTCTCTTTCCATATAATCCTTATTATAATGAAAGTAATTCTTTATAATTTTTGTTCCCTAATTAGCCCAATCAACAAATTTTTTCTCATATGTTTATTCTTTGAAAAGGCTTTTTCACGTTATCCTTTCAGCTTCATTAATTTGTTTCTGTTGAGGTAATTAGCCCAACCAACTAAAATGTCTATTGGAAAATAAGTTTTAAAAAATTAATAATACAATAATCAAATTTTAACAAGTGGCACTCAATTAGTATATATATATATATACACACACACACACACACATATGTGTATATATTGTATTCTATCGTTAAATAAGTCGTTGGTTGTAATGAGTAGTGCTTGTAGGAGAACTAGAGTAGTCCAGGCACCCAAGAGTTGAGTTATGTGGTCCATCAAATAATCTATGTTAATTATTAATTAATCTGCGCAATGTCAGTTACTCATGATATATATGTTCGTAGCATGAGTTTGATAATTTGAAAGATTGTTCCGCTCAAAAAAATAATATAATATTGTCTGCACCCATGGTACATGATTAATACTCGATAACAAATATAATTCACCAATTGTACGAATTCCATTTTAAAAGCTTTTAACCACCATCGATAATGGTACGATATCATGATCAAACCAAGACATTATTCTTAGTTTATTATCTATATTAATAGCACTTGATTTGTCCGGGATTACCAATAATAGATTCCTCTGGAAAGTAAATCAACACAATTCATTTTTATATAAATCTGCACCCTTAATTAATCGATGCTCAAGAAGCTCCAAGCCCATTAATTAGTTAGATAATTCCTCAATTAAGCCAATTAATTAGAATATGGGTTTTCCAGTAGTAGAGCCAAAGCTTCCAGTCCTGGATTTCTCAAAGGAGACTTTAAAGCCTGGCACAAAATCCTGGGAATTGGCACGTAAAGATGTTCAACGAGCATTCGAAGAATATGGCTGTTTTTTAGTAACGTACGAAGCAATTTCTTGCGAGCTTCGAAATGCAATGTTTGGCGCTTTAGAGGAATTATTTGATCTCCCAACTGAAACCAAAATGAAAAATAAATATGAAAAGCCCCTCAATGGTTACGTTGGACAAAATCCAGTAGTTCCCCTCCACGAGAGCCTAGGCATCGACAATGCAACGGCTAAAGAGGGAATACAATCTTTCACGAATCTTTTGTGGCCCGTGGGAAATGACCGATTCAGGTAATTAATGAAACGAATATCTTCTGTCTATTTTTCCTGTCCGCTTTCATGTCATTATTCATGTTAGTGGAGTAATTTTCTCTCCTATAATAATGTCAGTGAATCTGCACACTCATTCGCAAAATTAGCCGCGGAAATAGACCAAATCGTGACAAGAATGATTTTCGAAAGCTATAGCTTGGAGAAGTACTATGAAGCTTATATTGGGTCTATCACTTACCTTCTTAGACTGTTGAAACATAATGCACCACAAGGTAATGACCCTCAGCTTGGCTTTGTTGCACACACTGACAAGAGTTTCACAACCATACTCCACCAAAATCACGTCAATGCCTTGGAGGTGGAAACAAAGAACGGAGATTGGATCAAAGTCGAGCTATCGCCTTCCTCATTTGTTGTTTTCGCGGGTGATGCCCTAATGGTGGGTGCTAATATTTGATATCTAGTACAAAACATTGACACATTTTTTTTTGAGGTGTATCGCAATTATTGACACATTTAAATCATAGTAATTTTATTGGCAAAGTCCATGAATTTTTTTGAAAGAAAATAACAAGTTCTCCTTGATTGATTGTGTTATTTCTAGGCTTGGAGCAATGACAGAATAGTATCTCCAAAACATCGAGTTGTGGTAAGCGGGAATGAAGACAGATATTCGCTTGCGCAATTTTCATTTGGGGACGGCATGGTAGAAGTCCCAGAAGAGCTTGTGGATGAACAACACCCTTTAAAGTATAAGCCATTCAATCATCTTGGCTTCCTAGGTTTCTTTGCAGAAAATGCTTACAAGAGGTTGGAGTGTCCAATTAAAGCCTACTGTGGTACCCCCTGGGGGTTTTAAAAAAAAAAAAAAAAAAAAAAAAAAAAAAAAAAAAATTCACTCTGGTGTTAAAGCTGTAGTACTGTATCCATATTTCGTGCAGTGTGTCGCTGGCTGTTGAGTCTGTGTAACATTGGATCTGTATATATGCTTTATTTGTGATTGTGTAACTATGTAAATGTATTGAGTGCGCGTTATCTTTTGTGCTCTGAATAATGCTATGGCTTTTGTAAGATCGTCCAACTGGTATGTAAATGAAAATATTAAGGCTCGCTTGTTGGTTAGTAAGTGCGTCTCTTCATGTCCCTAGTTAGTCATGAAAAAAATAATAATAATAACAACATAAGCTTAGAGGAAAAAAAAAAATAATAATAGTAGGTACATGAATTGAGAAATTTTCTAGTTTGCTTGAAACGACAACACACGCAACACTCAACAGACGTCTAGAGAGAGCCAAAGACCCAGAGCCTGAGCCACCAATTAATCAATTACAAAATAATAAAACAATTCCCGTCACGTGTATATGTAACACATCGCTTGCATAACGAAGAAGGTAGTAAATACATATTTATGAAACTAAATTAAGTAAATAATAAATTTTAAAATTATTTAAAAGAAATAGTAATTTACCGTATAAATGTTTTATTTACGACTGATAAAAATAATTTACATAATAAAAAATCATTTTTTATGTGAAAAAAATCTTTTTACCAATTATAAAAAGAAAATTTACATCGAAAAAAAATCTTTTCACTTACTAGTTATAAATAAATCATTTACATGATAAACTACTATTTACTTGAAATAATTTTAAAATCTATTATTTACTTAATTTAGTTTTATAAATTTGTTATTTACTACAGTACATGAGTGTAATAATATGACAGTTCTCAACTTCGCATGGTTACATGCTCATAGTAGTGTTAATATCGGCCCGCCTGTGACCCACTTGTTCGGCCTAGTGTCCGATCCATATTTTAACCGTCGGGCTACTTTTGTCCATACGGCCCGGTCCGTATTTTCCTCCTCGTTTGCATGGGCCAGCTGAGAGACCCTTTTTACATGCTCAACATAACTAATCCACCAATCAAGGACATAAAGCATAAATCTAACAAAAACATTTCACTTTCGAGACATTAGCATGTGATAATCTTTAGATTGAGAACTCTTTTTTTAATATATATTCTTATTTTTAGTATTACGGTTAAATTTTTGCTAAAATAAGAAAAAAAGACTTTTCACGTTGGTTAACTTTTAAACGATATTAGAATTGCAAAAAAAGGAAAAAAAAAAAAATGAATTTTCACATCGGCTGAATGCCAACCGGATCAAACAGGTTGACCAACTCTCACACACACTCATAGTGACTCGAACCATCAATCTAAGGTTGTGGTGGATGAGCTTACAATTAATTGGACTGTCTTCTCTCGTCGTACGTAGTATAGGTTATTAATCACAGACAAATTAGTCTAATACGGAAAACATTTCTATGTACATATTGACATAACATTATAGAGAAATTAAGATGGTTTGCTAAAAGGAAAACACAACTTCATATTTAATTAAGAAACTCAAAGCAAAACAGACCCTTCTGCAAACTAATTATAATCTGCAATTTAAAATCTAAGATGCAACTTACAGATCAATCATCCCATATAACTAACACCAACAACCTAACGGAATATGCTACGAACGTGACAACTACATATACTGGTAGAAACTATAAAGTAATAATTTTTTTTTTTATAAAAAAATAATAGTATAGGAAAGTTATGCAAGACAAAATTTAATCATTCAATGCTATGCAATATGTGATGTAATTACTTAATTTTTACTTGAGGGGGACATTTTTGCACGCATGCCATACATAATTTTCCGCAGCAATACAATAATTAAACGGCCGTACGTGTTGTTGGTTAGAATATTTGTGCCCGTCATTGTTGCTCCTATTTTCGAAATACATGAAGCGCCCCGCAGGAAAATGAGGAGTCAACAAGGTGCTCATCAGGGGCAAAATTGTAATTATAATTTTTTTTTTTTGACAAAATGATCCAACAATACAGTATACTTCCTATAAATCTACAAAATCTATAATCAAGGAAATACCCGCAAGATTTACTAGGTGCGAGTAGGCAAAAAAAAGAAAAAAAAAAATAATAATAATTATGGGATCTCAAACAGATCATAAAATTCCTGTCATAGATTTTACTGACAAGAACCTGAAGCCTGGATCGGATTCATGGGTCTCGGCATGCAAACTAATCCGTTATGGGTTAGAAGAGTATGGCTGTTTCGAAGCGGTTTATGATAAAGTTCCCACAGAACTTCACACCTCCATATTTTCTGCAGCTAAAGAGTTGTTTGATCTCCCTATTGAAACTAAAGAGCAGAAAACCAGTGATCGGCCCGGGGCAAACTATGTTGGGCAAGACCCCTTTGTTCCTTTGTATGAATCTTTGGGACTTGATAATCCAACAAGTTTCGAAGCAGCTGAATCTTTTACAAAATTCATGTGGCCTGCAGGAAATGATACTTTTCGGTATATACCTATATTTATATATATAGTTTGATCCTACATATATATATATATATATATATATATATACACACACACACTTTAGCTTGTTTTATTTTACATGCTTGATCTGATTTTGTTAAAGTTTTCTTATGCATTAGTGAAATTGTTCGTTCCTTCTCAAAGCCGGCGGCGGAATTATATGGAACGGCGATAAGAATTGTGTTTGATAGCTATGGCTTAGGGAGGCTCTATGGCTCTCACATTGAGTCGGCCTTTTACCGTCTCCGGTTCTTCAAATACTCGGTGCCGAAGCCGAATGAATCTAATGTAGGATTGCCGAATCACACCGATAAGACCTTCGTAACAATTCTTCATCAACATCAGGTGGAGGGTTTGCAGATAAGAACAAAGGATGATCAGTACATTGATGTAAAAGCCAAGCCCTCATCCTTTTTGTGCATTGCAGGAGAGGGACTCATGGTACGTATGCACTGATGACCATAAGTAACACCATGTATACTTTTTTTTTTCTTTTTCTTTTTTTTTTAAGCACAACAAAAATACTTAGAGATTTCTTTTGGGCTCGTTTAGTTCGCTGATTTGAGTTTTTAATTCGAGTTGAGATGTAACTTTATGTGAGTGCTTTTTACTATAACAAAAAAATTAGATGTGATTGTTTGTGAGAGCTTTTTACTATAGTAAAACTCTAATTCTAAACTCGAATCAACGAAATGAATGTTTACCTTTCCAGTAGGATTGTTTCTTTTACTTGTCTTTTCATTTTCTTGTTTGATTTGATTATAACTACTGTGATTGGATTCTGATCAAAACATTTTTTTTTTTTTGGTTTTAATTATTAATAAATTAGAGTAGAGTAAGACAAGTTGCTTAGTAGGTGCTAACTTACTCAGAACGTTCTACGTTTCTTTGATATCAATTTCTCTCTCTCTATATATATAGACACATATAATTGTAGATATTCATTAAGATTCATGATGAAATGTTGTTTTTATTGAATCAGGCATGGAGTAATGACAGGATACGGCCTTGTGAACATCGAGTAATAATCAAAGAAAACAAGGGCAGATACTCACTTGGATTTTACACATTAGTCAATGGAGTGATACATGTTCCTGAAGAGATGATTGATGAGGAATATCCCTTGGCATATAAACCAATTGATTATTTGGATTTCCTTCTTCATTTCTTTACAAACGACATAGTAAGATATGCGGCATGTCCTATTAAGGCCTTTGCTGGTGTTTGATACCTCTTTGTGATCAAGATGGATGAATTTACTGTTTATGTATTCTAGCTAAATCATGTGTAATAAATAAAAAATACAGGGCTATTTTGTTTTGTATCTTTTTTTTTTTTCATTCTACGGTAGATGGAGACTTTCAAGCTAGACTACTTACAAACACAAATGGCTATTTTGTTGGTTAACACTAATAATATTTACTATCTAGTCCCCGTACAAACGACATATGCTTCTCCAATTTAATTTATTTCGTTGTTTTTCTTGTTTAACAAGTCATTGATTATTGCAGCTATAGTATAACGGTAATTAATTCTATATCTAATTCTACCATAAAACATAGATTTCGAATCCATTACACCTCAAGTTAAAAAGAAAAAGAACAATAAATGTATAAGCAAATGTATAATTACTGATGGGATAAATCTTAAAAATTCCCAAACTATTGCCCTTGAATATGATTTGGCTCGTGAATGTTGAAAAAATAACAGGGAAAAAAAAATCTTAAAGTTAACTTTGTGGAGTACATAGTTTAGAAAGATTGTTAGATAAAAAGAAAAAAGAAAAGAAAATAAATGCTTAACGAACGCAAGAAAGTGAAGACTTGTATTATATTGTATGTATCGTATTGTATTGTTTATTTTTTTTTCTTGAAACGAAGGCTTGTATTGTTGGCCTTATAGATACATATCTTTCAGAAAAATAGTACGTAAAATTATCAACTAGGGTTGGTTGTGTCCTTATCAATATCATAATTGTATTGAACAACACATAACGCAGCATTACAAGAATTTCAGTTTTTCGCTACTAAAGAATTGGTAGCAAAAACCCTTGTAGCAAAAGGTTTTTGCTACCAAAATTTTGTGGACCAAACTTTTGTTGTAACTAAAATCCGAAAGTTTTAGCTACAAAATTGTTTTAATAACAGAAAATGTGTGTTTGATACTAAAATTTTGGTAGCAAAAACATACCTATTTGCTACCAAATTTTTGTGGTTAGCCAAATAGCTTTGACATCAATCCATTTTCATCTGGCACCACGTTCTTCGCAGTTAAAAAAATTTTAGTAGCAAAATCATCAATTTTGTTATCAAATTTGAGAGTAGAAATTGATCAACATTCTGCTACTAAAATTTAGTCTCTTAAATAGTTTTTTGCTAGCCAAAAAGTTTGGGTTGTAAAAATTCAAACTTCTTATAGTGATGCAAACAAAAAGTTTTGTAATCAGTTGCACTTAATGAAACAACTGACATTGGATGATTGAAAACAGGTAAAGCCAATTGGCACGCATAAGAAAGAAATGGTCTTTTTTCTTTTTTATCTAACAAAGAGAAATCATTACCATCACTACTGAATTGAAATGGTGTTTCTACATCCCTTTACGTTTTTCGTTAAGACGACGAGCAGACAAATAACCTGAGACTTTGATGTTGAAAAGAAAAAAAGGGATCCTTGCAAGTCTTTATTAGTTACATTAATAACAATCATTCAGTTAAATAAAATAAGTTTTAGCTAGGGATATTATAATATGCTTGAGTGAGGTCAAAATTAAAATATTTAAAGAGTTAATTTGATTGATGGCACGCTAATTTATCACATATAATATTATCGATCGTATGCGTATTAATTAGAATAAGTTTGCTGATGTTATTCTAGAAATGTTAATAGACTCAGTACAATAATTGTTCGGCTAAATACTGGTCATAGTGAAGTTAAGACTTAGGGCCACTGAAGCAAGCGCATGACATAATAAATTAATCTCCTTCAGTAACCAGTAGTACAAACAGAAAGTTTAAAAATAATGGCATCATGTATTTTATTTATTATTTTTTTCGAATGAAACTCAGAGATAGCATTAATCACGAAAATACAAATAAATTACATCCCGACCGGCGAAGGAATCCAACCAAGAAACAAAGGATCCCGACCTCAGGCCAAAATTAGCAAGGCTATGAGCAAAACTATTTGTAGAAGAGGGACTAAAGACATAAGTACAATCAGTTAGTGCTGAAACTTTAGACAGGGCACCAGTGACTGCCTGCAAATATTAATTTTTTGCTCGATGCTTGACCTAACTCGCCCAAAATTTTCGGGCTGCCCGCCCAAGCCCAAGAAGGCCCGTGGACGCGCCGCGGGCCTGGCTTTGGCTGCCCGAGCCAGCCCGGAATGCCCGAATTTTTTTTATATATTTTTTAATTTTTATAATTATTAAGTTATTTTACGTTAAAATTATATAAAAACTAAAATCAACATTTAACACACATTATTAACACAATTTAATAAATTAATTTTATATATTAATTTTTAAATTCGTAATTCATGATTGGCTCATTAAAAACTTTACTAAGAAAAACCCAATTAGGATAAAAACTTGGTAAAGAAAAAAGAGTGCAATCATTTTGTGACGAATTACAAATTTTACAAACTTACAAAGTCTAAATATACAATTACAATGTCAAAAGTAAATACATATTTACAAGTTACAAATTTACAATTTAATTTGAAGCTGAAGGATCGTCTTCAAAATTAAATGTTAATCTATTAAATTCATCGATGCATTCTTGACTTGCTGGCAAAATTGTATCTTCTAGACGTTGATCGGCATGATCCCAATCCTTAATACAGAGCAAGGCTTCAACAATGTCCATTTGCAATGTGTTTCAGCGTTCCTCATGTATTCGTCTTGTCGTACTGAAGGCTTGTTCGGATGAAACAGTGGGAACTGAGATAAAAAATATATACATTGCCAATTGAGTTAGGATTGACCAAGTTAATGATCGTGCCCTCCACTATTGAACTAAGTCAAGAGATTCTCTAGTACCATCGACTACTAAGCTCTCACTGAGATACGCTATAAGCTCGTTGAAGCCGCCGCCGCCACTGCCACCTATTGATGAAGATCCACTCCCACCTGTTGATGTCAAGAATGAATGTGGGTTTTTTATCTTGTTGTTGCGGTTCATGTACTTCAGAGTTTGTGCTTCTAAACCTATTATGATATTTACTATAGATTGAAAATATTTTTTTCCTTTATTGTTGGAAATTGATCCGAACAATTGATGCCTATAAATTCACCTAAGTTTTCTAAACCACTTTCTAAACTGTCTAATTTTAATCTAGGATAAAAAATAGTACCCAAACCATACAACAAAGGCAATTTAGACCAATATTTTTTTAAATTTTTTTTCCATAGAATGAATAGGAACTCCTAAGATTGGGTCTGCCCTATATTCACTAAATAAAATACTAATTCTTAAAAGTTCACCTAAAGCTAAAAGTGATGTTGGGTAATATGTTTCACTAAGTTTTAAAGTAACTTCATGAAACTTACCTAAAAATTGATACAAAACTTCAACAATTTACCAATCATATGCGTCTATATGTCTTGTTCTTAATTTTACATACATATAGTTTGTTATAGCATCCTCATAGGGGATGCATTATTGAAGCATAATATAAGTTGAGTTTCATCTTACAGGTATATCTAAGGCTAATGCTCTAGGAGGTATATTTAATGCTTGTAAGAACCTAAACCAATCTTGTTGCCTTTGGTTACTACCTTGAATCCATGCAATACTATCTCTAATTCTTTTAATGTGAGTACCCATTTCTTTTAAACCGAATTTAACTATTAAATTAATTACGTGGCATGCACAACGTTGTTGGAAAATAGTACCATTACCGAATAAACTTAAATCATTTTCAAAATACTCAATTGCTTTAGTATTTGCACTAGCATTATCTAATGTTATAGCCATTACTTTATCTCTTAATCTAAATTCATCAATTACATTTAAAATTGTATTATATATTAAATCCGCGCTATGTGATCATAAAACACATTTAAAACCTAATATTTTCTTATCTAAATCTAATCTTCTAAAGTAATGTCCGGTTACAGCTAAATAATCTTTATTGGCAACAGCAGACATAATATCTACCGTTAACGTAACTCACCCGCTAGTCGAGTGTAAAAGGTTTATTAACGCTTCTTTTTCTTTTTTAAACAATTTTAATAAATCTTTCCTAAGAGTAGTTTTTGAAGTGAACCATGCATTAAGATTATGTACAACTTTAATATATCATTGCTAATTTGGATGCTCTACAAAACTAAGTGGTTGATGTAATGCAGCTATCATTCACGCAACTTCCATACGATCTACTTGCGGATCGTATTTCTAAGTGGTTAAACCACCAGTTGCGCGATCAAAAGATAATTGTGTTGAGCGAAGTTCGGGTCTGCCGGACTGGCTAAGCTTTTGAAGACACTTTTTGGAGTGTCTTCTCAAGTGTTTGGTGTCGTGAATAGTGTCACATTGTAATTTAGATAAACAATATTTACATTGAGCTATATGTTTAGTGTTACTTGCATTGTCAACCTCCTCAATCGTGTCGAAGTGATCCCAAACTATCAAGGTGTGCTTTTATTTTCTCCTAGAGGTTGCAACACTTGCAGACGCAGTCGCACTTGCACTCGCCGCTTCTCCACTCCCACCACTATTGCGACCACGACCTCTAGTACGTCCACCAAGGCTCGAATTAGCACATTCCTGCGTAACAAATTCAGTAGTGGGAAATTGCCCTTCTTCCATGTTGTGTTAGGCATCAACGGGAATACCATTATAACCAAATGAATCCATTATAAAAAAAAGAGCGATTTGAGAGAGAGAGAGCTTTAGGATATTGCAATAGTTTTTGCAAAAATTGTGAGAGAGATTTGAAAGATTGAGATAGGTTGAGAGAAATTGAGAAAGATTGAGAGAGTTTGAGTGAGAAAAATGTGTGGGGGATAGGGGTATTTATAGGGAAATTTTTGGGTTCACAAATTGATTTTTCCCTCAAATTCGGATCCAACAGCTAGTTTTTTTTCTTGCGTGTCGGGTTCGGGCAGAAAATCAGGCAACAGTCTAAAAAAAAGCCGTTAGGGTCGGGCATTTTGGGCTTTGGGTTGGGTCGGGCTCCAACGGTAAAAATTTTATCCGTTGGTCGGGCTCGGCCTTCGGGCAGGTC